CCACATGACATTAGTTCAAGTAGATATTACTTTAATTTGTTTTGCACTCATAACATTGTTGAACTTAGGCAAAGAATACAATGAATAAGCTTTCTCTTACAGGATAAGTGTTAACGCAATTTTTAATTAGAAATTATAAGTGATATACACACACCTGTGGTACATGTAAGTCAAACCTTGGTTGATCCAACACAAATGGTGTGGATTGTTGGGAAAATAATGCCCCTGAAAATTAGTGCAAGGGGGATATACATGTAAAATGATTGAGGTAAAGAGTTGTCTGCTTGAGACTTGAAGCCTTGGTAGCTTAGTTGGTAGGGCATTATTGAACTGGGCCATGGTCCAACTGTATCTGAACTAGTGACACAACAAAACATTTATTATATAAAACAAGTATGTCAATTTAACTTTGTTTTCCATGTTCAATAAAGATTTACAAATACTTATTTTTACTTTAGCTATTAATACACCCATTAATTTTGAAATTATCATAACATACAGACAACATTGAGAAAAAGCAAAAATTTAAACACCCACTTTATTTTTCAGGAAATTACAGATTCTCTTCTTAAGTTCTTATAAAGTGCTATCTTTCAATATTTCTGACAGTAACCCATTCCATAAGCCTATCATTCTGTTAGAAAACTGAAAGTATCTTAACTGTAGCCTAGTCTGTTTTTCTTAAATCTTAAAGTTATGTCTTCTCTTTTTATCGTCTTCAGAATATAACAAAGAAATCAGAAGCCGCTGTTACATAAAAGAAGAAAATTCACTACTAAAAAATCATCCCATGGATATCAGCAACCCCCCCCCCAAAAAAAAGGCATGGTGATAGTCAATCATCCTTAAAAGAATGCTATTGAGCAGGAAAAAAACTAACAAAAATAATAGCACAAACAAAACCATTTGGATCTTATCCTACTACTCCTGAATCTCATAAAGAAAGATTACAAAATGTGTAGGAAAACTGATACAAAACTTTAACTTTACATCAATGTAACATTTCTCAACCCCATCAGAACAAAAGTAACTACAATTTTATTTAAAAAAATACTCCAAAAATAAAAGTTACCCATCTAATTTGAGTTATGAAATCATAAGTTCAGACTGTCAAGCAAACTACATCGGCAAAACTGGAAGGAAAATCAGTCACTGAATGTTAGAGCATAAAGATAGTCCATTAGATGTGCATGAGTATTCTGTTATCATAAGACATGAAATTAATATCAATCATCCAAAAATTCTAAGCCATGAAATTGACCCCGCATTAGAAAAATAAAGGAAGCCTCTTTGAACAAAAACAAAGTTGTTCCATTTTATCTATTTTCTAGTGGTTTTAATTCTTCTCATTTACACATTTTGTTATTAAAACAACCAACTTAAAATACAGTGCATAATAATCTTACAAACTCTTCTTTCATATGATATCAAATACGAGACATGTTGCCTTACCCCCCGATGCATATACTTTACTTACATATTTCAGAGCTTATGCACAAAAATTATGTCATACAAAGGTGAATTCATGAACAGAAATTTACATTTTGAGGTGGGAGTTAGTATATGTTACAAATTAGATTGACTCATGCAAACAATATCCAAGCTCATTGATTTCACATGATTTCCTGTCCATGCAGAGATCTCAGTCACACAATTATCAATGAAATTAGAGTATGCTATCCGATTCATTTTCATATTTGTGGGCAAGTTGTTAAATAGGTGACCTCTCAATTGGTTGCATCTGATTAGTCCATCCTTCATACCTACACAATTTGCAATCAAAAGAAACAGGAACTTTAATTGGATTTGGATTACCAAACAGTATGTTTGTAAGGTGGTCAATAAACTAAAAGATGCCTATTTGGGCTTATAATTATTACAAATATAATGATCACACATTTACATATTTGTTTTAAAGGAGTGAAAACTGATGACTTTTATCAGTTTCAGACTGAGTATTCATCAAGGAACATTACAGTGCCACAGACAACAATTTCTTCATTTTTCAATTCCATCACAAAATCACAAACATTAACACACACGTACGTACATTCTGAACACATCCAAAACAGGATATCACAATGACATCAGAATCATTATTTCCATCAAAATCATACTCAAATTGTGATATTCCACATGCATTACCTTGCATTTATTATGATTAAAAATCATCTAACTCACCAAACAATCCAAATCCTTTTGTAAAGCAATAGCTTCCTCCTCGCACCCAGCAACATCCAACATTTTAATGTCATCAGCAAATTTAAATAATCCATTGACCATCCTTGATGTAAATCAAAAAGCACAAAGGTCCTAACACATAGTCTTGAAATACCTCACTTGTGACATTAATCGATTTTGACTGAAACCCATTTATAACAACACTCTGCCTTCTTCCATCCAGTTTTCTCTCCTATGAGCCAACCTATCCTCCACATCTACAGAGATAACCTTTAGCAAGCTTTTTATGTAGTACCTTGTCAACTAATTAGCAAATTCCACTAATCACCCAGCTCTAATGTTCTGTAGAAAGATATAACATATCTCTTGGCATAATATAACAAAATTTAAAGATCTTTTGGTTCATCTGCACTGCCCATCCACTAAATTGAATTAAATCTAAAAACAAATTCAAAGCCAGTACTTATTATTCAAAAATATATAAATGCTTTCCTTAAACTCCCTGCATTCATCATATCTGAAGGCAATCTATTCCAAATACTAACAACCCTGTTAGAAAAATAAAAGTGTGGATGAAGATGACTCCTTCCCTGCCAAACTTTAAGTGTCCTCTAGCCCTCCCATTCGCACCATTAAGTAATAAAAAAGATGCTGCATCATATTGTCAATTCCCTTAATAATCTTAAACATCTCAACTGGATTCTCAGCTAAATGTTTTTTGTTTTTTTTATAAGTTAAAAAATTTCAGAAAACTTAATCTGTCCTTACACAAGTATGGCAACCTTTCCATCTCAGGTATCCCCTAACAAATCTCCCCTGAAACCTTTCCAATAATTCAATGTCCTTCTGAAAGTATATAACCCAAAACTAAACACAATACTCCAAATTTAGCCTAACCATTGACCTATGCAATGAAAGTGTAAACCTTTTAGACTTGTATTCAATATTTCTGTAGATACAACCTAAAATCCTATTTGCCCTATCACAAGCAACAGCACACTGCTTGGATGGCTTTAGACTGATCGACTATTACACCAGGATCCCTTTCCTTCATAACACTGTTAAGATTATTCCCATCCAAATTATACTTATAATTCAAATTATGATAACCCACATGCATTATCTTGCATTTATTATAATTCAAACCCATCTGCCATTTATTTGCCCAACTCACTAAATGATCTAAATCCTTTTGTAAATCAAAGAATGTCAAAAAGATTAGTAAGTCAAGATATTTCCCCTAGTTAAATCATATTGACTATCCAATAAAATTATCAAAATGTGTTAAATAACTTTGTAAAGCATTTTTTATAATAATTTTAAAATCTTTTCCACCACTGGTGTAAGATTAATAGGCATATAATTACTAGGACAATTTTTATCACCTCCTATACAAATGATAATTATCAGTTATTAGTAATTTAGTTTCAGGGTATCAAAAATAAGCTATAATATCTGTAGATTATTGCATCACCATATATATATATATATATACCATCAACTTTGAATGTTTCTGGTTCTATCCTATGATGTAACTGCAAAGGTTGAAAACACTAGCTTTGTAATGGTTGTGCTAAATAAATTTCTTTAACAAGTTTTCTCTTTTAAATTAAAATATTTCAGTTTAAAATAGGCAAACTTGAAAAAGACAAAATGTCTGTTTATTTCAACAAGTGTTTGAGGTAAATAAAACTGTCTTTTACTCTAAATATCCAAACCAATGTCCATTTCATGTTTCTCGTAAAATTATCAAATAAATCAATTACACTTTACAAGACTCGTGTGGTCTGACCTAGTATTGCAACTTGTGCATTTATAAATGTGTAGACAGCTTTAAAAGTATTTTAATATATCAGCTTTTCAAAGCTTAAAACCTAGTAGGACTACTTTTCATAAAAACTGATGGTCTGCTTTCACAATACAGTGGTGTAAACTTTACATACTGCATACACCAAGGAATAATTCTCATACATACATTATGAAAGCACTAACATAGACTAAATCATTAATGGGTGATAAGTAGGCCTATCAATATAAGTACTGATATGAGCCATGCTTACTTCATACACATTCTTTAGCATAATTAGCATCTGGATTTCAGTATATCTGTAGCTGTCTTCATTGTAAGACAGCTACAGATGTCTTGTTTCTGTTTGTAGCCAACAGAAATTTGCATTTATTGATTCAACAATGCCTGTCAATCCTTGGCTGTGTTTGTGTGATTAAAAACTTCTTTTTCATTGTTTATTGACCAGTTACATTACATTAATGCAAATTTCTGTTGGCTACAAATTACAATTAATATGTTTTTAACTTAGCATTTGCAAATTGCAGAATAATGCCCCCAAAGATATATCTGATTTACTGGAAGCAACATTTCATCACTGAAAAAAGAAAAAAAAAACAAACCGCTTTATTCAGATGGAAAATGAAGCCCCCTTTTTAAGATTTATTTTTGTGAAGGCAAGCGTTTGCTATCCTTTCTTGACTAGTTATTGAAGTCATATTACTAAGACGTAACTCACTAACTCAGTAACTGCTAATGCTGAGTTGAAATTTGAATAAGTTAAAACTTTAACAGTAACATTTAACACAAATTAAAGTATTAAAAATGTTAGAATTATAAAACAAATTTAAATTGAAAACTAAGTAAAATTAAAGTGTTTTTGTTTATTTAACCTAAACTTCCTCATATTATCAATAATATTAAGTAATAATATCGTAACGTAAAAATAACTCTTAACAAATCAAGTTGAGTGTAACGGTAGCCTAATCCTAAGCCTGATAAATGCCGAAGTTTACACTTTCGTTCGTCTGACCTTGTTTTATACGTGGCATCTTGATTCTCCGCCGCCGCCACTTGTCTCACGTTCACAAGCAGGGATTCCCCAAGAACTCTGGCACCACTCACTGACTCGTCTTAAAACATTGCTTCATTTCTTATGTCTTAAAAACCTTTAAGGCTATATAAAGAACTAACAAGATGTTTATTCTCATTTTCCATAATCCATGCCTGGAATTTCAAACACTTCCAACTAAAAAGCTGTAGCAGAAAAGCATACAACACTTGTACGACACAACCTTGGATAATGACGTCAGAAGATACGAATGTGAGAGGCATTGGGGAAGAAGGGGGTATGTTTACTTGTACTTCGGCCCCTTATGTGGTTAAGCTACAGAGACCAAGATGGCTACGCGAGTTTCCACAAATATTTATTAAAGCTATAATATCAAGCAGAACATTGTTACAACCATATTGTCATACAAAAAAACATACTATATTTTAACACAATGTTGTGTGCTTTTATATTTCTATATAAAGAAGTCACATGGTATTGGAAAAAGCATTTTAAAGCCAGACCCTAAGATATGCTGATTTCTTGCATTTTAATTTTGATGTTGTATAGCTTTACTATATACCTTGTTAAATAAAATAATATGCAGATGATTCAAAGATTCAAATCACTGTATTCAACGTTAGTATTAAAAAGTCGGCAGGTTTCAAGTGTTCCTCATGAGAAAGCTAATATGTCAGAAACGAGTATGAGAAAATTATATTACGTGATAACAGGATCGTACATAAACACATCAACATCACAAAATAGTAGTTTATTGAGAGCTCATTCGCTGTATTAGCGCCATCTGCTGAGTGCTTTAAACGTAATCGTTGTGCATAAAGATATGTATTGTATGTGATGATGACAAAACCTTGTCGAAA